TCGGAAGAGTAAAAGTGAAAAAATTCATGGGTTGAGATAAGAACAGTTTAATAATTGAAATAAGATAAAGTAAAATAGTAGTAGTAGTAGTAGTAATAATAATAATAATAGTATACAAAGCAAGTGATGGTCAATGCAATTGCTCACCACCGGCCAACCAATGCCGAGCCAGTCCCTGAGCAATGGTTCCCCCCTTTCTAGTCACCACACCCCCCCAGTTTATATACTGAGCATGACATCATACGGTATGGAATAGCCCTGTGGCCAGTCTGGGTCAGCTGTCCTGGCTGTGCCCCCTCCCAGTTTCTTGTGCACCTAGCAAAGCATGGGAAGCTGAAAAGCCCTTGACTAGTGTAAGCACTACTTAACAACAACTAAAACATCAGTGTGTCATCATTATTCTCATCCTAAATCCAAAACACAGCACTATACCAGCTACTAGGAAGAAAATTAACTCTGTCCCAGACAAAACCAGGACACGAGTACATGCTATTATTTATGAGAAGTTTTGTTCGTTGTTTCAAACTTTTTAACTGCTTTTTTCCTCTTGCAGCATATAAACAAGACCTCTTAAAGTATGTGATAATCTGGCTATTAGGGAGATTAATTTGACCATGGTGAAGTCCCCTTCTCTACATAATTCAGAGATCTGTTTCATGCCACATCACTCCAAATTTTAAAGAAAAAGAATAATTCCATGGCTTTTTACATACTAATCAATCACCTCACTTTTAAACTACAACAGTCAACTCCCCTCACACAATTAGTTTCCTACCTACCAACATAAGAGTACATTGCTGTGAAGGGTAAGCAAGAGGAGGATGTGAAGATGGGGGCCCTGCAGGTTCACCACCACCACAGCAGACAGAAAAACAGAACAGCCTTCAGTCAAAGGATGCAGGCAGGTAGCCAAATCCACACTGACTGCAGATGAAGAGCTGAGATCAAATATCACCTGAGCAGCACACAGGAATAAGTTGCTGGGATGCTGTGAAAGACAACAGATGAGGCAAGGGAGATGATAGGACCTTGATTAGGGTCTGCAGTGTCACACAGAAGGTGGTGTGGACAGCACAGCTATATGAAGTTTTGAACAAACGCAGAAGTCCTATGTATGTGGCTGATTGAGGCTGACAAAGCCTTTTCAGACCATCATCACATTTTTATCACACAGGAAAAGTTAAAATCCAGCAATCCTTAGTGAGCACTCTGGAAACAGAACTCACTTGCACCATCATTTGTACCTGGTCTCTCCAAAGAGATCTTCATGTGTTAGTTCTCATAGAGGGTACAAATAAAGACCAAAATTTACAGTATTTAACTGAATAGAATAGAACAGAACAGAACAGAACAGTTCAGTTGGAAGGGACCTACAATGATTATCTAATCCCATCCCACTGCCTGACCATTTCAGGGCTGACCAAAAGTTAAAGCATCTTATTAAGTGCATTGTCCAAATGCATCAACCCAGGTTTTTTTCTTCTTTTGAGATTTTCAGCCTCAGATCAAGGTTTGTGACATCATCTTTCACCTTGAATAACGATGTCAGAACAGTCATCGGTTTTGGACACAGATTTTTAATGTTTTTATTGACTCTGTTCAATTCCTCTACCATGCCATCAAGTGGTAGTCCTACGTATTGGGCAATATCCAGCTCATACATAAGTCGAACCAAATGATTTACATGGTTTCCAAGAAGAATTTTTTTCAGTTCCACCCAAATCCTTTCTCCTGATATTCCAGCCAAACCTTTGGCATTTTCTTTAATTGCTTGCAACGTACTAGGTTCATGATCACCAGGTGTTTCTGCGATTCTTCCTTAAAACCTGAAATATCTTAGGATTCGTAAATAATCTTCTTGTATTCTCTCACTTGACTTTCCTACAAATCTAATTTTCTTGTTTTTCAAGTCTTCATATCCATTAAAAAAATCATACAGCATCCCATCCAAACCTAGAAAAAGAAGAAAAAAAACCAGAAGAATATGAATTTACAAACATGGTTGGCACAATTAAACACTCTCATTTGAAAATACAGAAGACAAGTTCTGTGATTTGACCTGGTTTGTCAGATCATCTCACATATTTGTATAGACCTTTCAGCTCATAGCAGTACAAACAAAATTGAAACAGACTGAGGGAATTTACTGGCTTCATTTGAAAAGCAGTGTTTCATCTACATATTTGCTTTTGAAAGAATTTACCTAAAAACATGGAATTGATGGTCAGATCCCTCCTTTCAGCATCCTTTTCCCAGTCAGTGGTGAATTCCACCTCTGCATGTCGTCCATCGGTGACAACATCTATTCTAAGAGTAGTAATTTCAAAATTCTGTTCATGGAGCTGCAAATCCCACAGACATTGTTACTTCGACACAATCATGAACATAAATGTAAAAGCTGTATATTTTTTCAGCCTCATGTTTGTATACAGTTAGTGCTCAAGCTGGACACATGCAAACCAACATGTACCATGTCTGAATACAGAGTAGACAATCAAGAAATACAAACACCTGAAAATAATCCTTGCACCACTCATTTTCTAGATAGCCTACAGAAATCTCCCTGCAGAAGATGGAATAAAAGGCAGAGGAATGAGCAAGGTAGAGGAAGCAAGACTTAGGAAATCAGGAGCAGGAAACACTAGGATCAACTTCCCCACATCTACCTGAACACGTGGGTGGCCTACATTATCTCTTCTAGTGATAACACGGCTGTGTGAATGGGTTATGCAGAGATAACATGCATTATAATATGGCAATTAACTGAATCCTACAAACAAAGAGTCATCAAAAAATCACTCCCTACTTTAAAGCAGGGTCTCATTTAAACTCTTACTGTGATAACTTAACAAAGAAGGAGCATACTACCAGTCTTCTATCAGATATGCTGCACATCCACAGATACAGTTAGAAAAGATCCAAGTCAAAGCATAAACCAACCCTAGCAGTAATGGTTCCATGTTTTTCTCCTTTGTTATTGATCAGACGAACACCAGCAGATGTGAACATTTCCTTCATCTCTGCTGGTGTAGCTGTAGTGGCAAAATCTATATCTTGCGATTCAAGAAGCAATTGGACAACACCCTCAGACATATGGTATGATTTTTGGGGTTGCCCTATGCAGGGACAAGAGTTGGACTCAATGATCCTTGTGGCTCCCTTCCAACTCAGGACATTCTATGATTCTATGATTACTCCATCTGGCATTTGGACCTGTTAAATTCCATGCCCAATGATGATTGCCCAATGCTAGTATTTGTCCAATGTTAAATACTAGTATTTATTAGCAATTAAATACTATAGTACTTAAAATCTAAATTGGTCTAATAGAGTGTGTGTGTATATATATATATATACACACATGTAGAGAGAGATATCACATAAATATATGCTATTAGACCATTTTATTAAACTTAAGGTCCTCTTATTGTATGCATTTTTCAATGAAAAGCTTTTTGCTCAATTATTCCTCTGATCCAATTAGCTTTTTATTTCAAGATAAGGAAATCAGACATAAGAGAAATAATTATCTTATTCTGAACAAAAGAAAAAGGCAGACTGAGGAAATGATCATGTGGGGAGCTGTGTGCTGATTCCTCTGACAGTTATGAGTGTTAGTTTAGATATTTTTGTAGCATGTCTATAAAAATTCTTCAAAACATATTACAAATTGCAATGCTTTCACTTCTCTTAACTCTTCTCACAACATTTAAGGCACTACTTCAGTGTGGAGGAGTTGTTTTCATGTCCCGTCTTCCAGAGACAGGTGATTGTTTGATTTCAGTATTTCAAGCCCTCTTACTTGTAAACCAATAAAGAAATATGTAAATTAAAAACTATAAACTCAGAGTACCAAAACGCAGATAAATCCCATCTCAAAGCTTCTTTTTTATTATTTTGTGATTAACTTTTACAGATCTCTTCCTTTTAGATATCTAAAATATGTTGGCTTCCTGGTATGTTGAACAGATCTTGTTGTAGGCAAACAACTGCACTGGGGCTTATCATATGCATGCTTTTCTCCAAGGTTTCAGGATACGAATGAAGGGGAAATAATGATGAATTGCTTATTTTCAGTTCCTCACATTTTTATACAACTAGTTTTTCTCCATTTTAAAACTCTCATTTCTTTTTTTTTTCCCCCCACAAACTGAACTGATGCCCCATTACAACAATGAAAGGCCAAGTATTGAATGCAGTAAGCAGTTTACCCTTTTCTCCTCTAGAGAGGGTCTGCCAAGGTCGTGATTTAGGCATCTGAGGCAATGGTAGTTAGCTTCAGAGTTGTGAAATAGAGCTGTTTATTCTTTGCCTGCTCTGTCGTGTGATCTTGCTGTGCTGCTGTTGACTTCAGTGACCGTAGAACTGCGACTGTTTACAGAGAAGCAGCAGCCTTGTCTGTAGACCAACAGTAGCAACAAGCTTTTCCTATCCTGAGCATGCTACTGAAATATTAATGAACACTAGCTCTAATAGTATTCCTGGTGCAAATAATTGTTGTCATACAGGCAGAACTGGAAAAGTGCTCTCTTTGTCATCCCAGTGGATACAGCTCAATTATTTTAGTTGTGAGCTTCCCACAGTGATGTTCTGGAATATCTAAATACTGATCTGGAAGAGGCAATCCTAGGTGTAAGACGCCACTAAGGTGCCTGTGGCTATGAACAGTATACGTTGTCTTGTATCAGAAGAGGAAGATAATATTTTAACACAGTAAAATTCCCTTTATAACCAATAGACATATTAATTGAAAACAGTGCTGGGACAAAGTCCCTTTTTTGAGACTGTTAACAAATATGTCCACATGTGTTTATTTTTGAAGAGGTGAAATGGTCTTTGCCATCACACAGAATGGAAAAAACTGATTTTAGAATCACACCATTATCGTAACAGAGGAAATGGTGTTCTGGTCAAATCTACTGAAAATAATTCACCTTTGGACAGAGAATAACTCTGGAAAATTTCAGTCGATAAAGTAATATTTTTGAAATATTGAAAAATATTCAAAAAATACCATAGAATATAAAAATATATGCAGGTTTGATGATAACAGTTTTCGTACTGTCATTGAATGCTTTTTTATAATGACAAGTTAAAGGACTCGGCGAGTCCAGAAACGTCACTCAGACATCTTTTTCTCTCCCTATCTTTCTCTTTCTGTCTGATAGGAATAATAACATGTGCCACTGAACCATGCACGCAATTAAGCGCTTAATGATAATCTGGCTTTTAGAGTCATTTTATCACTACTTGTACTTTGCTAGCTAGAAAGTTATCTCTTCATTTTACAGACTAAGTCGTTCTTTATAACAAATGACACTGTAATTTACATCGTACCCTTTTCTAAAAGACATGAAAAAATGTGCATATTCTTTTGTTTTGTTTTGTTTAACAGATATGTCAGGTCAAGAACGAAGCATGACATTGACATGAGAATAGGGATACATTCGGGATCGGTTCTGTGTGGAGTGCTGGGCCTGCGAAAGTGGCAGTTTGATGTCTGGTCATGGGACGTGGATATCGCAAACAAACTCGAGTCAGGTGGAATTCCTGGGTAAGGCAACGTGTATGTCCCACAGTCAGAAAACATTGCCAACACAGTACACTGTTAACCTTGCCAACAGATTAACTGTCTTACATTATTTCATCAACTGTGACTTTTTTTTTTTTTTTTTCCTATTTTGCGGTTGACAAGGATTTGAGAGGCTATAGGCAAAAAAGATAGAAATGGTCAGCTTGCAGAGGCATTGGAAACCACAAACATATTTCTTTTTCTTTGCCAGCTATGATTTCCTGAAAAAGGTCAGTGGTTGTATTCAGCCCATATAATACTCAGAGGTAGCCCAAATTCCCCAGTTAGGTGTTGACAATTCCCGAGTTTTACGAGGCTTTACTCTCTCGTCCTTTGCATTCAAATGCTGTTGTGAGGCAGAAGGCTGTAATTTATTTTATTTCATAATGCACAAAGTGTGGGAAGAATTATGTCTTCATAGGTTGTTACACAAATAACAAAGTGTTATGGCCAACAGGCTCTGTAGGAAGTATTTTAAATAATTTGATGCTTTAGTAGATGTTTTGAGACATTTATGTCAGCCTGTCTACATGTGAAAATATATGGTTTTCCATTGAGCTGCCCAGTTTTTCTTTGTCTAATGTGGCTGATTCACCTGGAAGACAGAATATTATTTCTGCCTGACATGGCCTATGTCTCATGGTAGTTTAGAAGTTGCAAATCCTAAATTCGAAGCAACAGTAATGGTTGCAGGAATCCTCTGTTCACTTTAAGTTCCACCTTCCATTGATGAAAGAGGTAGCAAAAGATCCCCTACGACAATTCAATTTTTGACCATGAAACACAGAAGCAATAGCAGCAGACAACTTTATGCAGAAAAAGTCTAAGTGATGCTGTCATCTTGAGTGAGAGAGGTTTTAAGTCATCAAATCTAAGTCATGTGCTGTACTCCTTACTCACACATCAAGATCTGTCAGAGTTGTCATCTTCCCAGGAAGTTAGAAAGATATTTGTTTTATATTATATTTGCAAATGCAGGCCCCTTCCACTGTTCCCCATAGTAGACCTTTATACTAATATATATGCTTAAAATCAGCAGAAAATGAAGCATTGCATGCTCTGAAAACAACTTCTGTACTCTGTATATGTCATCAGTGTATGAAGCTGCAGAAAAAATTTTCTTTCTCTGCTGCTTATCCCACATAATAACCCCAGACGACTAAGAAAGGTCACATGCTGCTTTGTTAACATGAGTAAATCAATCATCTAAGTTTCACCATCCGCACCTACAAAAGGTCTAGTTTATTGCTGTTAATGTGTGCAAGTAGTACGGCTATTAATGAACAACCCAGAGAACACACCACCTTGCTGTTGCTGATAAAATGCCTGGCTAGGCTTCAGTGTATTGGAGCAGAGTGATTTCCACTCCTGTATATCAGTTTGCCAACAGAACAAAGCCTGTATGTGACAGCAATTCACCAAGTCCCTCAAAACAGTGATTTACATCAGGCTTTCCTAGTGCGTAGAGCAGATTTAATAGAGCAGTTAAGTTCACTTCAGCCTCTTCTTACTTCTCCCTGCCGCCAGCATTCAAATCCCCCTGCCTGCCACAATACTGAGATCATTCCCAGAGCTGCACTGCTTTCCTCTGCTTTGTCAAAAAAGCTGCTCTGGGGTTATGAATGGTCCTGCTCCCACAGTGTGAAACAAGAGCAAAGATGAACCATAGCCCTCTCCTGAGCACACAGTGGAGGGGGTCAGCTTCCTGCCTGGGATGGGGAGGATCCCTCCACCCAGTCTGGGGGCAGGAGGGAAGGGGCTCAGCTCTTCCCCTCACCGGTTGCGCATCACCCTAGACCTCTTAAGCATGGGTCATGCAGGGACAGATTGCCCCCGAGTGAAGAAGCATAAGCGGGCAGCCCAGCTGTCGTGGAGAGGCACTCAAGAGCACTGAGCAAACCCAATTATTTCTGGTTCTCTGAGAGGAAAAAAAAATGTGTCCACAACACTTGAGAAGGACACCATGTAAGATCCTACAGTGTTATTTCAGAGACACTCTTCCGCCCCATCTTCTAATAGTCTTCAGCTGGTGTATCTAGGTATTAATCTATGGTACTGAATTGGCATAAAACCTAGCTAATAATTAATTTTCCAGGATGTATCAATGACAGGTATCATCTAAAGCTTTGGTTCTGATATGTTTTCAACAGTAGGACAGGCTATACCTTTTTACTTCAATGCTCAAGTTCCCTATTTACTGCATTTGTATAAAATTAGAAAGACATCTCTCCACTGTACATTTTAAGGTTTTTTAAGTAAGCTGTACAAAAGGTGAAACCAGAAGATATTATTAATCTACCAACTATTTATTAATATTTGGTCCATTTAAGGGGATTACATCAACAGCCAGCTCCACACTCTGGTTAAAGCTGTTATCATTTCCGTTATAAAATCCATATTTCAGGGCTTTATAATGCAATCTTCCCAAATTATATTAGTGGAAACTCAGCACAAAGATAGTCACCCTGGCAACTAATGTATCATTTTCTTTTTC